GATTTTAGAAAAAATTTTTCTTAAAAAATTTATTTGCAATAATCTGAGGTATCTATCTTTTTGCACCGGACCATATTTGAGATAAATTCTCTATGTCAGATTTCGAGTACGACTACAGATTATTCTAGAAATCGATCTACAGATTTGGAAATCTCCCCGACTGCAGTAAATGCGTAGTAGTAGGTTCACTTTCCAAAAACACAGGTATGTTTCAAACATCAATCACAGGGGCAACAATTGGACAATCTGATTTGATGTTTGCAATTGTTCCACAACGTGATATGCCCATGGAGATATAAACGCGCACACGTTCGTCTCTTTCATACTCGTAAACTTGAAAACACAACATGGACCAAGTTGACGGAAGATTTGTTGCTCAATATTTAAGAAAAAATCCTACAGCTACTGATAATGATATCATCGAAGCATACGAGAAACAACAAGGAGGTAAGCAAGCAATGAATACACGTTTGTTGGGATGATAGTTGAAATGCATTACGACATGCGTTGGGGTTGGGACATAGAGCAGAGTCGTAGCGAAGGTTAGGTTAGAGGTAAACTCGTTGCAAGATACGATACGTTTGGGTTAAGTTGAGTAGGAGCAACGGAGGGAGAATAGTTCGAATGCATTACATGTGCAACAAGTTCATAGAGTAGCGTTACTAGGCGTTTGTTGATCACTCATTCTGATATTTTCGTATTCATTATGTCTCTTCTTACATATATTCATACGTCGTGGAAATTTATTGATATGTTGATGCTACATTTTTCTGTACATTGCGTGACATCCGCTTATTCACCCATCTATCCATACTCGTGTCCCTTCCTTCCGACCTTTATAGGAGACGGTGCTGGTGAGTAACGTTTTCCTTTGTCCTGTTCACGCCGGTCACCATGCCACCGTTCTAATTCTTTTCGTTATTCATCGGCTTGTTGCGGCATTGATTGTCCGATTACATTGTATTGCTGCTATCACTTTTCCTCACTGCCACTTTGTTCCTAATTGTTTTTCTAGATCGGATTACAACAGGTATAAAGCTTCGTCTCTCATTAGCCATTTATATCAGATCACAAGTTTATTTGTATTTTCTAATCAAAATGACTCAAAATATAGTCAAGGATGTCATTGACAAGATTGTCCTAAAAAATACAATTCGTCTTCCTGCTGTCGGACTTGGCGATTTTATGCCGTTGGAGGATCGTGACTTTGATGGTGCATTTAAAATAATTACGAAAAATGTGGAGAAATGTATTAATGGGTCTGTATCCAAGGCAGATTTTCACTTCCTTGTCAGTGGTGGAGCTCCCGGAATAGGTATGGTCTTCATATAGTGCCCAAATTGATTCTTTGTAGTTTATTCATTCACTTCTAAACCTTGTACATAGGCAAAACTCGGTTTGGTAAGGAGTTGTTCAACAACCTTAAAGAACATGATCATTGGATCCCTATTCAGTGGTCAAGATCGAGGCTTAATTTTGAATACATCCATTTGGACTTTGGTAATGGCATCCAACTCAATGAATATGATGATGATCTAACTCCGACAGTCATTATTGGGCTACGGATTGCCTATACATTTTTTGTCGAAGGGCAATATATGATAAAATTTGAAACTTTTCGTGATCGAGTCGATAAATATGTGGACATTTTCAAGGTCTCTAATGTTCTTGATAATATTTGGGAACAGCTAGGTCTCCAAGCTGATCAACAGTTTTTTTTATTTCTCCACATTGATGAGTTTCAACTGGTTGATCAATGGGACGAACAAGTCATGAATAGGGGAAAGCCAGGCAAAGAGCTCTTTAAGAACATGATCAACTGCCTTGCACCATTCATGCTTGCCCCACCTACCCCCATCTTTGTTCAGACATTCCTCTCGGGGACAGCACCTCAAGTTGTTGTTGAGGCCAAAGAGACATCAAAAGTATCATTCGCATTTGTCAGATGTCCGTTGTTGTCGTTTAAGGCAATTATCAGGATTGTGGATCACTATGCAGGGAAATTTGGTGCAGAAAAATTCTGCTGTGGTCAATATAAATGGATGCTGTGTCGACATTTTCTTCGACTTTTGGAAGATACTGGAGGATTGCCCCGTGCACTTGAGCTTCTCTTCGATGAATGCTTTGCAGTTGGAGGGGGACAAAACTTCTTTCACAATATTTACAAACAACCCTTTAACACTATCTTTGCAAATATCAAGTCCGGTCTCCAAAATCGTTACAACATATACGAAACTGTTAAGAAGAATAGGTCACTTGCCCTGGAGCTTCTTTACCACTGTATCGAGGCAATTCCTGTCAGCCGCAAGCAATGCCTAGACCCAATTGATCAGAATGCTACCATCGAAAACTTGGAGCGCAATGCGCATATTATCCTCAACCCCTGCCATGACAATCCCACAGAATTTATCATCAAGATGCCTTTCTTTTTTATCTGCATCTACAATGACATTTTACAAATTGTTGAACAAAAACTTGCAGAGACATTTGATTTGCAAAAGGAAATGTATTGGCAAGAATGGGAACTATTCGTGGCATTTCACGTGGCATTTCGCACCAACTTGATGATCAAACGTAGAAAACAAATGGCTTATTTGAAGGACTTGTATCGCGGTGCCCTTGGGACTCAAGCTACATTAGATCTTGAAGTGAATCTGAAGAATCTTTCTGTCCATCTAGCTCAAGAGCAGTTCCCATGTTCGATTTTGACAGATAAATTCAACAGCGAGACTATCAACTGGGAGAATGGTGAGAATTTGATTGTCAATGGCTCATCTGCCAAGTGGGGGGATGTGTTTGTTGTTAGGACAATCACTCCAAACCAGCCCACTGTCATTGCTCCTGGCCTCGAAAAACAACTCCATATCTTTCAATGCAAGTATGACTACCTCTCAGAAGAATTCACAGGTGAAGATCTTGCCAATGAAGAGATTAAAAACTTGGAGAATTCAATAGCTACTCAAGGGGACCTTCGCCGTAAGCTTGCTGAGCACCGTCATATAACAATTCTTTTCACAACCCAGCCATTCACCCCCAGCATCTCCCGTGATTCCTCCCTTGTAATTGCAATGGACAATTTCGAAAAGTATTTCGGTCCAGTATTTACTTCACGTGCCGTGTTTTTCTCAACTAAAGATGTCAATCCCAACTTCTCAGAGCCGAAAAGAATGGAAAAATATATTCCAGGAGTTGGCGAAGTTACCTCCAAAGAAGTTGTAGAAAATCGGCCATACACCAGCGAGGATGACTTCTATGGAAAGCATAGTCGGGCCAAACGAGGCATGGAATATTACAAGCAAAATCACCCTGGAAAGAAGCGCAAGCTCAGCTTTTTCCCATTTGATGCATTATAATTGTAAGAAATGAAGTATGGATCAAGTCTTCCGACGTTCCAAAAAAAAAAAATTTTACCAGTTGTCTTATAACAGTTTAGCACAATAGGCTCACCCAGATCTTACACAAACTATAGAACTTCTGAGAAAACTCTTTTTGCTTTGGGAAAATAAAGGCATCCTTGCGCTAGTTATCAACCGTTCTGAATATATTGTTACGGTCGGGAATTAAATTGGGGTTTTGGGAGAGCGATTTATCTTTTCGTGTAGGTGTGTTCGCCGACCGGG